AATCTATCCTAAACGGATTGATGTAAATTTGCATCACTTACCATCACATTACTTTGGTTAGTGACTGCCAATCCACCCAAAGAGGTAAAGATCCGTAAGAATCTCGAAGTTGCTCAGGCATTTAGATTCGACTGACATTTCAGGTTAGTTTGAAGAATAAAAATAAATTTCTGGTTAGGAAGTTGTTTCAATTGCTTTGGATGATTTGGCAGTCTGGATATTCAATAGTCTTGGGATAAGGCGATTATCGTACCATCTTTGAAGATAAATATACTATAATTATTAACTTTGAGTCTGCTTCCAATAGGATTTTTTCGAACCATATTTTCCAATATTTAAACTTTCTTACCATTGTTGATACTATTCTTCGTGTCAAGTTCAGTTAACTTTACCGATGTTGTGTTTCGGCTTGAACCGACACACATTTTTGCTAGATCCTACGTTGGTTCTGACTTACCAACTTTGTAAACACACCAGTGTGTTTTAATGGGATTTTAGAAATTCACTTACTGTAACTATTGGCTAAAAGACATTGTCTTGATCACTTTTATAGAGGAATTTGAATACCCCACGTGATCATATCATGATAGGAAGTCAATAGACAAGTGCTCTAAGTAGTGCTGTTCGAATGCGTCATCATGAAAAATAAACCATATCGTAAAATTCCTGTAGTCGCAGGTGAAGTTGTTCCTATTCGTTTGGTAGCCGTAAGTTCGACAAGTCAAAATACAATAGACCTTTTTTGTTTGTTGAGGATTGCGAGAGATTTCACATATATACACGCTATGCTGTGTTGTAATAGTAATTTGTAAAATGTATTGGCTGATTTTTTTATAGCTTTCTTGCTCGGTTGATTACTGGTATTCTTATGTTCCATACTGGTTGGATTGATGGTTCAGGATCACGTTCAAATCCGGTAGGTTTTCAGGAACTCATTGTAGTTAATCTGTGAATTTAGTCAACTGACAGTTTTCGTTGCAACATAGAAGTAAAGAAATTATGACAATTTTATGTGGTACCATCTGTAATGGCATTTGTCAAGTATAACTAAGCGTTATGAATTGTTATATTTTGCCTTAATTTGATGGTTAATCATATTTTAGATTGTTCTCGTGCTTTGAATTCTCTTCTACCAACTTGGATTATCTCATTGGAGGCCATATTACAGATGTTCATGTACATCTGGTCAACACGACATTCATTTATTGTTTTTGTATGTAAGGGATAGAAATATATCAGGAAACCTTAATCGTTGTTGAAAAGACTTTCAGCATTCTAAAGCGAGGAAGGGAAGCAGGGACTGTTAGATTAACTCCTGGGATTTTCAAGGATTGTGGTTTATTTTTAGCAGTTGTATTGACTAAGATCTGAGCTAGAATCTGGGGACTGAACGTAAGCCCCCAAATGCCCTGGTACGACCGAGAGTGGAAAGAGTCTGCTCTCCCTCTCGAAATGCTCTCACATGGCCTCGCGTATATAGCCTCTGCCAGGGAAGTCCTACTCACTGCCTTCTCGTTGCATTACTGTTGTTTACGAAAATGAGAGGACGAAAAGCGAATGTCCGGCGCTTTAACCGGATTCCAAATCAATGGTGCACATGGGCTCCAGTACCCTGCGGGAACAAATGGCGTACGAATCAATTGTTGGTCACCGGCTACCATGGGATTGCATCTCCTTACGATGCTCCACTACCTTGTGGATCAGACCCTCAGGTCGAAGGCTCGGGGTGTGGGCCCCTATGAAAACCACCTGCTTCGGTTTGGACACCCGGGCAGTATCACAGCCCTCACACATATCGAATGAGATTTGTGTGGCGCATATGTATTTGGTGCCTCTTTGTACCAATATCTATGTGTTGAAATAAATAAAAAAAAACTGAACGTAATCCCATCTGTTTGGTCTCGATCACTGATCGTTTCAGTCTATAGAAAGGGACAACAATCCTCTTGTGACAATCACATAAATCGATTTGACTAACATAACGTCTAAAATACTAGCCTCAATAATACTTTGACGTCTAAATAGAGCTTGTAACGAGTAAACCTGTGAAAACCCGGTTAGTTATAGACCAAATATTCACCCCTTAAAATGTTCTGAAACAGCTATACTTTCGATATCCGACAACAGTTGCATTCCTTGACCTTAGGGCGACGTTCGGCTCTGTTGATCGTGAGGTTCTGTTTCAGTATCTCACTGAAAGATATACCAAAGAAGTACATTCACTTTGTACAGGCTCTCGATTTAAACACTATCGGTCGAGTCAAAGCTTATGGGAAACTGTTATCGGAATCGATAACTTCAATTAGTGTTCATCAGAGTTGTCTGATTTTCCTACTTCTAATTAACTTTGTCAAAGACATGGTTCTACAGATAACACTTTCATCGTCTGACTTTCCAGGGATTGATCTTCTACCAGGAGATTCGCTTGTTGACTTAAAATGTGCAGATGATATAGTTCTGTTTGTCAATGATGCTGGCAAAATCCAAAGTCTTCTGGCCACCTTAATTAGCAATGGAAGCATATTTGGGATGCGATTCTTTCCCTTCCAATGCAAAATGTTGCTTCGTGACTGACCTAGGTTAGCACCTAAATTAATGATAGAGAGTAATGTAGTTGAGCGTGTCTACTGCTTTACTTATCTTGTGGGTCTTATCAGTCCTGATGGTCTGGTGTCCGACGAAATCTCGACACGGATTCAGAAAGCTCGATTGGTTTTTCTCAAATTGCGTCGCTTGTGGTATAAGGAAGATATCCGTCTGTCGACCAAAGTGCGAGTTTACTGCACGGCAGTCCGATCCATCTTACTTTCTGCGTGTAAAACATGGCCATTAAGAATAGTGGATGTTCTTATCATTTTGTTTACGTATTTGAACATATAAATGTTGGTACAAGGGGTTACCAAATGCATATACACCACACAATAACAATGAGAATGTGAAAAGAAAAGAATGTAAGGTGCGTATAAGACAAAGGGGAGCAATAACGAACAGAAATTAGTCTATAATAGTGAAATAATAATAATAATAATAATAATAATAATGGGACAGTTCAGTTAGCAAAGGTGCAACCAGAAAGAATTCTTCCAGTTAAAGAAGTTACATCCATTTTTTATGAAGAAAATAAAGTTACAACAGGATCGCCACTGGCTTCTGTTCTGAGCCACATCTGATAACGTTTCTAGTTACTGTATTTTTCCATCTCTAGGACCCCAAACAGGCAGTCATAAAGGACCAACAGTAGCCAGTCCTATAAAGCACTCTTTCATACAACGACACCATGTCATACATTGACCACTTCCAAGATAGTGACACCAATCAAATTATCTTCGCTGTGCCCGAACCCACGATGCCAAACCTCTGCATTTCTAACATGGTGTTGCTGCTGGATGTCAGCAATTTATCGGAGACAATGATGAATACATACAGAAGGTCGTCCAACATCCTCAACTCAGAGAAACCAGGTTTCACAAGCACACAGCAAAACTGCTCTCACCGACGCGTTGCAGATCCGAAATTTTACAACCAGACTAACATCATAAAGGCGCCAAAGATGAACTCGATTGGCACAAGCCGCTATGGCTTTCACTATATATGGATCGATCTCATCACTCACGCTACCAACAGCACTTACGCAGCTACAGTGATACACGAATATCTTCATTACTTTTATCTGTTTCGCTACCCGGAGTGAGTGCAGGTTCAGGGTTTCGTCAATCTTGTAAAAGTACTTTGCACTTCGAGAGTGCAAATTGCATGGCTTGGGTATCTTTGTAGCCTACTGATATTCGATCACAGGTGTCTTCGAGGCATCGTTCGTATATTCTGGGACCACCGAGTAGACAGTTCCATGGTCAGGCATGGGGTAATGAGTAGAGACGCTAAATGTATTGATGAAGAAGTAAATATTCATCAACTGAAGTGTTCGAAACATATGTTTCGTATGCCCAACCACCGTCTGCCTCGACAAGTGATGTTTTCTGATATTAGGGTAGACTGGAAAAAAGCTTAGTAAGTGACTCTAGTAAACGGACAAAAATAATAATAGTAAACAGGGCTTCCCGGATATGAAGATATCATGGGACGACATGGACTGGAAGGACGGAACGAGAATGTTAACAGATTTGCAAATAAATGTACGTCAATACCTCATCAAGATACTCAATAAAGGAGATATGAGAAAATGTGAGAACTACAGAGTAATCACATTATTGTCAGTACCGAGAAAAGCTTTTTACAGTGTTTCTGAACCGGATGAAAGACCCATAGACGCCCAACTTCGAGATCAACAGTCTGGATTTCGTAAAGATCGGTCGTGCACAGACCGAATCGCGATACAAAGGATCATCGTTGAACAATCAATCGAATGGAACTCGTCACTATATATCGACTCCATTGACTATGAGAAGTGGTATGCCAGTGTGGATAGGAGAACATTATTGAAACTTCCTCGATACTATGATGTGCCTGAGAAGATCGTCAATATCATACGAAACTCATACGACGGACTACAGTACAAAGTTATGCATGGAAGCAGCTGACGAGTGCATTCCAAGTGAGGACTGGAGTCAGACAAGACTGCTTACTCTTCCCCTTCCCCTTTCTTCTGAAGGTCGACTGGATTATAAAGACAGCGACAATTGAGAGGACATTTCGAGAGCTTAAAGACGAGAAATCAAATAGACTACATTTAGAGTTTGGTCTTTTTCATGGAGACATTAGTATCCGGGAGTTTGTCAGAGAACGTATTATCGGCATCGGTTTATCAATACAAAATGTGCTTGGATTTCCGCAGTTACAAATTTCAAAAATGGTGCTCAGAATCGACTTCCTATTCTTAAATCTGACCATTGAAGAAAACGACTCGCTAACAAGTGGACGTAAAGAACCCGTTCGTCTATAAAAGTTCTTCACAACCACATTGGATATTGGATACCTTTTAGTGACCTTGGGGTGTTTTTATTACCGTAACCTTCGTTAAGGCTCCACAGACGTACGGGTTGATGTCGTTTGCCCTCCTAAAAAAGGCCTTCGGTATTGGAAGGGCAATCGACGACCGGGAGTTTGACGAGTTTATTAAGGCAGTTGACGTCAATGATGTCCATGTCGGGTTTGTAGTTCAGTTTGCTCTGACCGATATTTAAGGCAATTGAGTAAATTATTGAGAAAAAAAGCAGTCCGGTTGTTTGTCCTTAAAAATGAAGACTCAGGTGTCATATTTGATTCTGCAGCGCTAAAGGTATGCCAAAAATTATAATTTTACTCTCAGGATCCTGTGAAATCCACCCCAACCATTAATGTTGGTCGTCAACAGTTGAATCTTAGTGATATAGCGTTCGGGTCTTATTCATTGAATAACAGAAAACCACTCTTACATTCAATGAAAATTCATGATATGAGGTGAGTTCAACCCCTAACTAATAATTACTTGTAGTTCCATTGGGCAGGTTCTGTTTACTCGAGTTTTTCATGAATTAGATGAGTGGTAAGTACGAAAAAATTCTGAAGCAAATACTTTTCAGGCGAAAGCTGTATCCGAAAAGTGAACACAACCAAGGGATCAAGCAGGAAACATGTGTTGGAAATCCTGAGTTGGTATGACAACTTACTAAATTTATTTTCCCATAGTTAAAGAAACAGAACTTAAAAAGTTACAAAACTTTGGCAGTTTGCCTACTTATCAATTTGGAGTGGTGTTCACCTACTGGTGGGTCGTGTCCCAACAAAGCATGTTCACAAAAGTCACATAGCCGTCGGAATTTCTATCATCTATTCAATACTGATGTTTCCCACCACAACCAACTAGTTCCTCAGTCGTCCGCGGATACTAGCTTGAAAATATCGGCCTTTACCGCGAAACGTTTTTACAATATGCTCTTTGAACACTGGGTTCAGCTTAGCCTAATAATAGAGACATTGTCGAATGAATGCGCAATAGCCGTATGCAGCAATGCTAAGAGCTATTGGGGCACGCACAAACTTGTTCCAGAGGCACACTGTACAGAAACCATTGCAAAAGCTTTCAGCAACTTTCTGAATTATTTCCGAGATCTATGTCTGCCCAAATTATGTTTTCCGATTTGGCCTACGTTAAATGTCACATTGTCTACCGATTTTGATTCATTATCACCCTGCTCTGATCGATCACGAGCTGATTGTGTTGCTTATTGGCTTAATATGGACCCTAGTTATTCTCAGTCAATGCTTGTCGATTCTAACCAAATTTCCAAAGATAGTCTACTCGATGTGTTTGTGAGATCCTGTCTGGCACCTTTAATTATTAAAGGTAATAGTAAAGAACATCGTAGGTAAGTGAGCTTTACGTGATACACCTTTAACACTCAAGCTGCATTATAAAAGTGTTCACCTTAGTATATTATGTTTGATGAGTTTATAGCCGTATAGTTTATCCGTACAATACGTAGTTATGATTTCAATTTTTCTTTTGGATTTTAGATCATACAGCATGTAGGGATTGTTTAGTTAGCTAGTTATTTACACACTAACGTTAAAAGGGTGACTGATACACAATCGAACCACTACTGGACAAAGCTATAAACAGTATCTCAGGTTTATCATTCTCTTAGAAGTATTAGATTTTAGGTGAATAAAAAGCACTGGAATGAGTATTCACGCCTTACTTCCCAAGTGTCTGCCGGGTAATTTTCCTTTGCATTTTGTCACTTGTATTCCTGTCGCCGGTTTTATGTTTTTTTCTAGTAATGTTTTCTGTTAGGAAGCAATTCATATTAATATGCTGTCATTCAAGAATATTTTACGTCTCTTTATGGCTGGTTTATTTCCTTACATAAGTACTTGTGAACAGAATTATTCCAGGGATATTTATAATCAATTGTTGAGAAAGCGTAGTTATAACATTGTAGCAACTCCTACTGGGTTTCTCTCGGTTTCTACAATATCACTAATGTCAACTTGTTCTAACTTTTCAATCAGCTACAACGTAGGACCAGGCACATATATGCATCGTTCTAAGTTGCCATATCTCATTAGCACAAGATGGACACCGAATTCGTAGTAGCTAATTCAATGGTGGTGATATGTAAAAGACTGCAGGAAGAAAGAAGTGGGTAGTTGTCGAGTAGCTGAAGGCTAGCTAAACTGTTCTTTTGACTTCTTCCTACTAAGCAACAAATTTCGAGATTCCTGTGGGTCACTATGTAAATTATGTAAAGTTTCGCCATCTGTCTACTTGGGTAGTTCAACTACTTCGTGATGCGTTATGGTTGGGAACTTTTTTCATGAATCTTTATATTTGTTGGTAAAGAAGCGTCATGAACTGTACTCACCTTATTCACGTAAAAATGTTACTCAGTTGTTCAGCGTATTTTTTAAATCATAAATTCGTATATATTTCTGATTATATTCTGTTAGATTAGTCTTGGCAAATTTCGCTTACCATGATTTAATCAATATATACTAGCCAAAATCGTCCTTACTTCAGATTGTTTAAAAGTCCAGTAGGTATGGTCCAATCGTTTTTCATTCCATATACTCAATCCGAGCACTCACCAAGTTAAAAACATTTTTACCGTATATTCAACGGGACTGCATCATCTACGAACCGGAAATCGACTACTCCTGTTGTCAGAGCGGTTTACGTTTAGTTGAAGCATGCATATGGCAAGATTAAAAATTAATTAAAGACATATACAAACATAGAGAACACTATAAGAGTCGATTCAAGTGGTAGCTTTTAGTAATGTGTCATCTTTGAGTAAAAAGTCTACTGAGGAATCTATTTCAGCGAAACTGCTACAAAGCTTCCGGATCGATGGAGCGATGTGTCGCCTTCAGATGGAAAAAAATTATGGCATGGATCTGACGTCTGTATTTGTGTTCCAGAACCCGAGGCTAAATGTCCGGTCAACAAGTTCCTTACTGGCAAAAAAGTGTTTTTTCCCAAGTTCATTTCAGTGCCATAGACGTCAGATGATTGTAGAACATTAGTTCTAAAAAATATGTCACGTTGATTCCTCTGCAGTTGTGACATAACTTCTATCCTTCGTCATAAATGGGAATAACTAGGGATTGAAATCAGGATACTCTTTTATTGATTAGTAAAATTATGACGTCTTTTGATGTTGCTGAATCTTTCACTGGTTTTCACATCACAATGTAACTTTTAATACCCAAATTTAGTCATGTCTGCAATCGGGTGCTTATCAAGATACAGTTGCCAATCTGTTTGTTGTCCTTTAATGTGACCTTTAGGTTTTTTATGGAGTTAAAGCCTTCGATAAAAGTTTTTCGTTTTATCCTGTAGTCGTTAACACTCCACACAGTATATATTCAGGTAACAATCTGCACCTTAGTCTCTCCACACATAGCCAGTGCTATTCAATCGATCGGGAATCAGTTCATAATAGTGTTATATGCACGTGTTCTTCTTCAGGTCCGTATTTGAAGACATTTATTTCCTTATTTCATTCTCATTTTGGATCATTCTCATGCTTAGTTCTCTGCATTACCCTTGGCATTGTAATTCTAACTCCTACCCAGTCGTACACTGACCATGATTAGCCGACCAAGTGTTTAACTTGTTCCTAAATTTCCGGATGTTTATTGCAGATTCATTGGTCGGATAAGGTCGTGATTGTTCATTTTCTAGTTCAAAGTATAGTTCTGATTCAGTTAGTCGTCGTTTAGGAACCCAGATGCTACCACTAGTCTTCACAAAATGAGTGTCACTCAAGGCCTAGGATACTAACGTATACGCAGTTACTGATTTCAGTTAACCAACTTGATTGCAATATCCAAGTTTGGTTAATAAACATCCACACCATTGAGTTCTGTTGTTTTGTATTTTTATATTAATAAATGAAAGGTGCTAAGATTAAATCTTCAACAACTAGTTCAGAACACCAAAAAGGTCACTTCGTCCTTCTTATTAACATCAAGAGGTTATGTAGAAGACCTTATGGGAAACTGAAACATCGATAGGATGGTAAATAGTATTCCACCGAGAGTTTAACAGTATTTCCCATTGTAACCCTTCCCGGTAGAGTACATAAACACATTAACAAGCTCTTTTCTGAACTCCGACTATACACTAGTACGCGCCACATATCTTGTCTTTTAGAGGTTAAAAAATCCATCCTAAACGGATTGATGTAAATTTGCACCACTTACCATCACATTACTTTGGTTAGTGACTGCCAATCCACCCAAAGAGGTAAAGATCCGTAAGAATCTCGAAGTTGCTCAGGCATTTAGATTCGACTGACATTTCAGGTTAGTTTGAAGAATAAAAATAAATTTCTGGTTAGGAAGTTGTTTCAATTGCTTTGGATGATTTGGCAGTCTGGATATTCAATAGTCTTGGGATAAGGCGATTATCGTACCATCTTTGAAGATAAATATACTATAATTATTAACTTTGAGTCTGCTTCCAATAGGATTTTTTCGAACCATATTTTCCAATATTTAAACTTTCTTACCATTGTTGATACTATTCTTCGTGTCAAGTTCAGTTAACTTTACCGATGTTGTGTTTCGGCTTGAACCGACACACATTTTTGCTAGATCCTACGTTGGTTCTGACTTACCAACTTTGTAAACACACCAGTGTGTTTTAATGGGATTTTAGAAATTCACTTACTGTAACTATTGGCTAAAAGACATTGTCTTGATCACTTTTATAGAGGAATTTGAATACCCCACGTGATCATATCATGATAGGAAGTCAATAGACAAGTGCTCTAAGTAGTGCTGTTCGAATGCGTCATCATGAAAAATAAACCATATCGTAAAATTCCTGTAGTCGCAGGTGAAGTTGTTCCTATTCGTTTGGTAGCCGTAAGTTCGACAAGTCAAAATACAATAGACCTTTTTTGTTTGTTGAGGATTGCGAGAGATTTCACATATATACACGCTATGCTGTGTTGTAATAGTAATTTGTAAAATGTATTGGCTGATTTTTTTATAGCTTTCTTGCTCGGTTGATTACTGGTATTCTTATGTTCCATACTGGTTGGATTGATGGTTCAGGATCACGTTCAAATCCGGTAGGTTTTCAGGAACTCATTGTAGTTAATCTGTGAATTTAGTCAACTGACAGTTTTCGTTGCAACATAGAAGTAAAGAAATTATGACAATTTTATGTGGTACCATCTGTAATGGCATTTGTCAAGTATAACTAAGCGTTATGAATTGTTATATTTTGCCTTAATTTGATGGTTAATCATATTTTAGATTGTTCTCGTGCTTTGAATTCTCTTCTACCAACTTGGATTATCTCATTGGAGGCCATATTACAGATGTTCATGTACATCTGGTCAACACGACATTCATTTATTGTTTTTGTATGTAAGGGATAGAAATATATCAGGAAACCTTAATCGTTGTTGAAAAGACTTTCAGCATTCTAAAGCGAGGAAGGGAAGCAGGGACTGTTAGATTAACTCCTGGGATTTTCAAGGATTGTGGTTTATTTTTAGCAGTTGTATTGACTAAGATCTGAGCTAGAATCTGGGGACTGAACGTAAGCCCCCAAATGCCCTGGTACGACCGAGAGTGGAAAGAGTCTGCTCTCCCTCTCGAAATGCTCTCACATGGCCTCGCGTATATAGCCTCTGCCAGGGAAGTCCTACTCACTGCCTTCTCGTTGCATTACTGTTGTTTACGAAAATGAGAGGACGAAAAGCGAATGTCCGGCGCTTTAACCGGATTCCAAATCAATGGTGCACATGGGCTCCAGTACCCTGCGGGAACAAATGGCGTACGAATCAATTGTTGGTCACCGGCTACCATGGGATTGCATCTCCTTACGATGCTCCACTACCTTGTGGATCAGACCCTCAGGTCGAAGGCTCGGGGTGTGGGCCCCTATGAAAACCACCTGCTTCGGTTTGGACACCCGGGCAGTATCACAGCCCTCACACATATCGAATGAGATTTGTGTGGCGCATATGTATTTGGTGCCTCTTTGTACCAATATCTATGTGTTGAAATAAATAAAAAAAAACTGAACGTAATCCCATCTGTTTGGTCTCGATCACTGATCGTTTCAGTCTATAGAAAGGGACAACAATCCTCTTGTGACAATCACATAAATCGATTTGACTAACATAACGTCTAAAATACTAGCCTCAATAATACTTTGACGTCTAAATAGAGCTTGTAACGAGTAAACCTGTGAAAACCCGGTTAGTTATAGACCAAATATTCACCCCTTAAAATGTTCTGAAACAGCTATACTTTCGATATCCGACAACAGTTGCATTCCTTGACCTTAGGGCGACGTTCGGCTCTGTTGATCGTGAGGTTCTGTTTCAGTATCTCACTGAAAGATATACCAAAGAAGTACATTCACTTTGTACAGGCTCTCGATTTAAACACTATCGGTCGAGTCAAAGCTTATGGGAAACTGTTATCGGAATCGATAACTTCAATTAGTGTTCATCAGAGTTGTCTGATTTTCCTACTTCTAATTAACTTTGTCAAAGACATGGTTCTACAGATAACACTTTCATCGTCTGACTTTCCAGGGATTGATCTTCTACCAGGAGATTCGCTTGTTGACTTAAAATGTGCAGATGATATAGTTCTGTTTGTCAATGATGCTGGCAAAATCCAAAGTCTTCTGGCCACCTTAATTAGCAATGGAAGCATATTTGGGATGCGATTCTTTCCCTTCCAATGCAAAATGTTGCTTCGTGACTGACCTAGGTTAGCACCTAAATTAATGATAGAGAGTAATGTAGTTGAGCGTGTCTACTGCTTTACTTATCTTGTGGGTCTTATCAGTCCTGATGGTCTGGTGTCCGACGAAATCTCGACACGGATTCAGAAAGCTCGATTGGTTTTTCTCAAATTGCGTCGCTTGTGGTATAAGGAAGATATCCGTCTGTCGACCAAAGTGCGAGTTTACTGCACGGCAGTCCGATCCATCTTACTTTCTGCGTGTAAAACATGGCCATTAAGAATAGTGGATGTTCTTATCATTTTGTTTACGTATTTGAACATATAAATGTTGGTACAAGGGGTTACCAAATGCATATACACCACACAATAACAATGAGAATGTGAAAAGAAAAGAATGTAAGGTGCGTATAAGACAAAGGGGAGCAATAACGAACAGAAATTAGTCTATAATAGTGAAATAATAATAATAATAATAATAATAATAATAATAATGGGACAGTTCAGTTAGCAAAGGTGCAACCAGAAAGAATTCTTCCAGTTAAAGAAGTTACATCCATTTTTTATGAAGAAAATAAAGTTACAACAGGATCGCCACTGGCTTCTGTTCTGAGCCACATCTGATAACGTTTCTAGTTACTGTATTTTTCCATCTCTAGGACCCCAAACAGGCAGTCATAAAGGACCAACAGTAGCCAGTCCTATAAAGCACTCTTTCATACAACGACACCATGTCATACATTGACCACTTCCAAGATAGTGACACCAATCAAATTATCTTCGCTGTGCCCGAACCCACGATGCCAAACCTCTGCATTTCTAACATGGTGTTGCTGCTGGATGTCAGCAATTTATCGGAGACAATGATGAATACATACAGAAGGTCGTCCAACATCCTCAACTCAGAGAAACCAGGTTTCACAAGCACACAGCAAAACTGCTCTCACCGACGCGTTGCAGATCCGAAATTTTACAACCAGACTAACATCATAAAGGCGCCAAAGATGAACTCGATTGGCACAAGCCGCTATGGCTTTCACTATATATGGATCGATCTCATCACTCACGCTACCAACAGCACTTACGCAGCTACAGTGATACACGAATATCTTCATTACTTTTATCTGTTTCGCTACCCGGAGTGAGTGCAGGTTCAGGGTTTCGTCAATCTTGTAAAAGTACTTTGCACTTCGAGAGTGCAAATTGCATGGCTTGGGTATCTTTGTAGCCTACTGATATTCGATCACAGGTGTCTTCGAGGCATCGTTCGTATATTCTGGGACCACCGAGTAGACAGTTCCATGGTCAGGCATGGGGTAATGAGTAGAGACGCTAAATGTATTGATGAAGAAGTAAATATTCATCAACTGAAGTGTTCGAAACATATGTTTCGTATGCCCAACCACCGTCTGCCTCGACAAGTGATGTTTTCTGATATTAGGGTAGACTGGAAAAAAGCTTAGTAAGTGACTCTAGTAAACGGACAAAAATAATAATAGTAAACAGGGCTTCCCGGATATGAAGATATCATGGGACGACATGGACTGGAAGGACGGAACGAGAATGTTAACAGATTTGCAAATAAATGTACGTCAATACCTCATCAAGATACTCAATAAAGGAGATATGAGAAAATGTGAGAACTACAGAGTAATCACATTATTGTCAGTACCGAGAAAAGCTTTTTACAGTGTTTCTGAACCGGATGAAAGACCCATAGACGCCCAACTTCGAGATCAACAGTCTGGATTTCGTAAAGATCGGTCGTGCACAGACCGAATCGCGATACAAAGGATCATCGTTGAACAATCAATCGAATGGAACTCGTCACTATATATCGACTCCATTGACTATGAGAAGTGGTATGACAGTGTGGATAGGAGAACATTATTGAAACTTCCTCGATACTATGATGTGCCTGAGAAGATCGTCAATATCATACGAAACTCATACGACGGACTACAGTACAAAGTTATGCATGGAAGCAGCTGACGAGTGCATTCCAAGTGAGGACTGGAGTCAGACAAGACTGCTTACTCTTCCCCTTCCCCTTTCTTCTGAAGGTCGACTGGATTATAAAGACAGCGACATCTGTGAGGAAACACACAATACAATGGATTGCTTGGAATCAGTTAGAATACTTGGAATTCACAGATCGCCTGGCCCTTCTATCCCATGGATATCACCAAATGCAGATGAAGTCAACTAGTGTAGCAGCAGTGTCTGCATCAGTAGGCCTAAACATACACAAGGAGAAAAGCAAGTTCCCTAAATACAACATACAGAACAACACAATCACACTTGATGGAGAAACTCTGGAAGATGTGGAAAGTTTCACGTGTCTATGTAGTGTCATCGATGAACATGGAGGATGTGATGCAGACGTAAAGGCGAGGATTGGCAAGAAAAGGACAGCAATTTCACAGTTGAAGAATATATGAAACTGTCAATCAATATCAAAGCCCACTATCTTCAATACTAACATCAAAACAGTGAGTTCTGTTATATAGAACTGCCACAACCAGCAGCACCGGTCTACTGTAGGAGAGAACAAACTGACTTCGATCTGAGTAGGAAATTGGGAAAAGACTTTGAAAGTGGATGGGACACACATTGAGGAAATCATCAGACTGCATCATGAGGAAAGCTCTAACTTGGAATCCTGAAGAGAAGCGGAAAAGAGGAAGGACAAAGAACGCATTACGTCGGAAAATAAAAGCAGTTAAGAAAAGGATGAATAACAGCTGGAAAGAACAGGAAATGATTTCCCGGGGCAGAGTTGGATGGAGAGTGCTGGTAAGCAGCCTATGTTCCTCTACGAGGAATAACAGGCGTAAGTAAGTTTACCGTAAAGAAAGCATCAAATTAACCGGATCTCTATAAATCATTTCGTCCTAGAATAATTGTTTGCTTTTGTTCTCTAAAATTTATTATCTTAGGGGGTCAGTTGTGGGAATTCACCAATATCTAATAAACAGAACGTCCCCGTCAGTTTATTGGATCAGTTACTTTCACAAACAGGTTTCAAAACCATAGGAACAGATTCAGTATCATTCGGAAGTATATTTAACTGCACTGTAATTTCTGGCCAGTCTCGTGCTTATTTAATGGCTCTTCTTCACTTCGCTACGTATTTCTTGAGATTCATGTGCTTGATTCACACACAGGAATGCCTCCCAGAACTTGGACCAGCTGATCTGTTTGAATTAGAACAACAGAAACGGCGGGTAGGTGATGATCACGTTAATTTTCAGAGTTGATTCTTTTATGCCGTCCACTAGGGTAGGTTATCGCTCTTTATCAACTTTACACTTGTTTTCCTTATGTGATCCCCAGGTCCTCAAAAAAATTATAGGCCTTACCGATGCATTTAGGTTGTATTTAGTAAATAATAATAACTATCATAATTATTACTTAAGGGTTTAGCTTTATGACATAGGTTGATTATTAATTTAGTGTAATGTAGGTAAATATACATTGGATATCGAGACTAAACGGTTATCAAATAAATTTATGGCAAATTTAACAATTATCACTTCATTTTTAACTGCCAGACCCTCTGGATTACTATGCTCCTTTTAGGTCTTAATGTTTTCAGTTCAGTCACATATAGATGTAGTCTTTGTGATTCGAAGAGCTGTACTGAACTTTGTATTATAGTGTATCCTTTTGGTTAATGAAACTGTCGAATAGTATTGCAAGCGTAACCAACGACGAGAAATGCGAATTAATAAGTGATCCTAAATAAATAAGTTTATAAGATAGTGAAGGTTTATGGTAATTGTATTACCACCAGTGTCTTCTTTGACCTTTTTCTTTCTAGCTTACAAATTGCCAATTTATTCGATGTTAATGTTCCCGTATCAAAAAAGCTTGTAGATTTCAAAGATGGCCTCTGTAACTTGTTTGATTACTTTTTTGTTCTGCTTTATAATTATATTCATTCACGTTTGATGAGGGTGGAGGATACCTATTAGAACCATGATCAAAGTCTATCATACTACATTTTCATACTCAATTGAACTGAATTAATCAAGAATGTGCATTTCTAGATTATTTATCGTACTGACTTGGTAATGGTTATATGCATATCTAGCCTTATGCTGTTTTTCACTAGAAATCGTGGTACACTTCTTGTAAAATTATCCATATACCATGAAGGAGGTTAAAGAATATTTAGACTAGAGTGTACGACGTTAGTCTGCGAAAATGTCACTGGAAAAGATGTCTTTTAAGTAGCCTTAGATGTTTTATAACATACTCCGGTATGGATACAAATATCTTAGTATTTTGTTGCCTTAAGTGTAGTATATGAATAACAACAATCAGACAAAGAATTGTCACTTGTTGACAATTCAGAAATCACACACAGATGTGTCAACCCATTATTATATATATATATATATATATATATATATATATATATATATATATGTATGTATCTTGGTTATTGGCCCTTTGGAATTGGACCAAAAGACAGGAGAGCAGTTATAATGATCTAGTTTGAGTATTGATTGCCTTTCCTAGATTATCTAATACCAATGACCGACTAACCAATGATACGCTAAATGTGAAATAACAGCCGAGAGTAACGCTAAAAGACCATTGGTCCAGAATGCGGTTTTTCACGCTCGGTCACCCGATAGTCAGAATAGAAAGCAACTCAGATACATCTACTGCGTGAGAGAGCTAATGGATACTACAACCAGAATGAAATAATATTTGAATATATGACCCACTAGTTGTAGGCTAACCCTCTAAAGTTATGAATCACGATTTCACAGAAATGCATGTTATATGGTGAAAATAGAAAAATGGTTTGATAATTTGGAAAACAGGAATTATCAATATGGATTTATTTCAGTATTGCAATCTCCCCTTCCCAAAATTGTCTAGTGTGATATTAATGTTTTCCCGTTGACTGTTTATGGACTCGATTCCATACTAGTTCATATTGATTCTTTAAGTGTTTGCACTCTTCACTTATTTTGTACTTTTGTTAATACCTGTCGAATTGTGGTCGTCTCATACGTTGTAAATTGGAATATCAGGTTGATCGTAAAGATCAAGACAGTTCTTTAGATACTTTGATGTTCAATGTTGATACAGTCGTGCCTACGTGACAATTTTTTTGAATACAATACTTGCATGTAAATCTGTTTTTGATAGGGCCTGTTATTTTAGGATTTAGACAACGAACAGCTCGTTGAAAATAAAAACTTATCTTTACTTTTAAAAGACTCGTCTAGGTGCTAAATCACGTCGTAAATCTGGATCGGCAACCAGTAGTAACTCAACTGGTCACAGTGGTGATGCACATGATTCTGGTATCAGTTCCCAGGAAGATTTGACTTCTGCATTTTATTCAGCGAGCACTGGATCATCTCCTACACACGTTTCTGGTATGGCGTTGTGTATGACACATCGACTAACTCGTGACCAATGTCGAATGGCTGAAGTAGCTGCTCACTTTATGGTTACTCGAGAGGCTGCAGCAGCAGCAGCGGCAGCAGCAGCGTCCGGTCCAATTAATTCTCAAATTTCTGTTAGCACAACACGGTAAGTTTACATTGTGTCAGTTGTTTCTTCTATTGTTTCGAGTAAAATCGATGTTTATTTACATGTAGTTTCAATCCAGTTGTTTGAAACTACGTGCTTCCATTTTTCATGTGTTGTAGTTTATTCCGGTTCATTTTGCCTCAGTTTTCATTGAACAATGTCCTATATGATCAGACTAACCATACGAAAACTATTAAAAATTTCACTGGATTCTTACTAAACCGATCATACAGTTCTACTGATTTCATATCATTGATACCTCAATAGTGTAAACTATCTCTTTTAAGTACTTGAAAATTCTCTCATTGAAGATTACCACATGATTGACTATCTGGTCTGATTTTCGAAATTCATGTATTTTTTGATAACAATTCATTTTTTATTCATTCAGTCTGCTATAGGCAAGGTAAAACTGACCATTTATGTGTTACACCACATCATAGTGAGATGAAATTATCAAGGTTAGTGAAAAAGTAGTAGAAGTAGCAACAGGGTTAGTGGTAGTAGAGAACATCAGGCATAAAAGATATAATTTGAGGAGAAAGTGAATTTGCGGAATAAAGCATACAAGGTAATTTTAAACATGACTGTAAGGAAAATGGAGAGTAAATGTATCTACACTATTGCATTCGATTCTAAGCCATATCACTCAGTGTCTCCAATCATTAGTTGTAATAATCGTATTGACCCCTAACAGTCTGGACCTACCAACACGGCTCAGTCCAACAGTCAATATCTTCATGGACTGATGCTACGTCTTGGTTTGATAGCATTCAGCTTTCCTCCAACTTACTTTTAAATCAGCAATCATCGCTTGTCGAGGTAGGCGATGATTGAATATGTATTCTTTAGTCAAAGCTTATCTTACATCGTAAATGATTTCTGAGATTTTGTCAGACACTTACCTAATAGGGCTAGTGAGACTTCCAAGATATGTGAAGTCGTCGGCGCGTTAACTTATTCTTTCTATACCATCAGTTAAAGTGTTAGTATAAGTCAGTCGTGAAGCGACATCTTGCATTCAGGGCGAGAGAGATTCATCCCACACATTTATTGACATTCAAAACGATCAGAAGACTCATATCAGTGTCTTCATCAAACATGGTCACGCGTATATAGCCTCTGCCAGGGAAGTCCTACTCACTGCCATCTCGTTGCATTACTGTTGTTTACGAAAATGAGAGGACGAAAAGCGAATGTCCGGCGCTTTAACCGGATTCCAAATCAATGGTGCACATGGGCTCCAGTATCCTGCGGGAACAAATGGCGTATGAACCAATTGTTGGTCACCGGCTACCATGGGATTGCATCTCCTTACGATGCTCCACTACCTTGTGGATCAGACCCTCAGGTCGAAGGCTCCGGGTGTGGCCCTCTAAGAAAACCACCTGTTTCTGTTTGGGCACCCGGGCAGTATCACAGCCCTCACACATATCGAATGAGATTTGTGTGGTGCATATGTATTTGGTGCCTCTTTGTACCAATATCTATGTGTTGAAATAAAATAAAATAAAACAGAATTATTTCATCTGCATATCCCATGTTCATAAATAAAATTAATTGTTTGATAATTTTTGAATCGTACATATGCTGTTTACGTGTTGTTTATCGTCATCTTTATATATTCTGTATTATTGTTTTTCATTTTATAATCGTCCGATAATTGCAGTTCAACTGACACGTCATCGGGATTAGTAGATGGTAGCAGCGCTGCTAGTAAACCATGTCCATCTAATAACTCACCTCGTTCTTATCGATCTCGGTATACTGAAGTTCCTTTGCTGATAGAGTGAGTAAATCATCATTTTTCGAAGTTTTTCTTTAAAAAAATTAACAATTCTTATTTGTGAATCCGATCATAAATTCAGAGTATTGACAGATGTTTTCGCTGCATTTGTTTCACTAAGGTATTATTGTTCATCATAATGAATGATTTCTGTTTTACGCCTTTGGTTGCTATTATCTAGGTAGCTATGTAATTTCTTTGACATATATGTCTCTCTCTAGACACTTCGTTCATACAATACTTTTTGCTATTCAAATGAATTCTAATGAAATTGTCAACCTTCATAAAATAGATTGAGATCATAGTATACTACAAATTTTTCACCGCTTTGATGTCATATTTTTTCAGGTTAATTTACCATCGAGGTACATAATATCCCTCTTAAAATTAATCAGCCCATCAGTAGTCATAAGCAGAATAAAACCTAGGATAAATGTTCAGGTCGCCATATTACTATTGTCACAGCGAAACGAAATTGTCAATACAAATTGAATAAAAGAATGTTCATGGCCTTTTGGTTATCCTCGTGTAATAAATAATTATTTGGAAGTCAGATAATCCATTCATATGCATACTGCTAATATTGCAGACCAATACTCCAATTATACTTCTCACGAAACTTAAAGTTCCATGTTTTTATCTTTGAAGAAGTTGAAATTACTCATCATAGATGGGTTCAAAATGTAAATGTCGTCGTCCTATACTTCACTGTTTTTCCAGTGAAACAAATTTTTTACGAAGAAAATTATATTTTGAATCAACCAATTCATCAACTATTTAAAAAAAAACTATATTAGTTAGCTTCACTTCTTTAAGCATAATTAAACGTTAAGGTTGTTTACAGTTTCCAGTCTGAATTTTAATGGACATCAGTGCCTAAGCATAATATGATATTATTTGCTGTATATATATAGTTTTGTTAGAATTTGGCCTTTTGTTTATAACGTGATGTAGATCATATGTTTTATTTGTTTGTTTTTATCTATTGATTGGTTTTTTCGTCCGCGTTTTAAGTATTTTTTTTCATTGTTTGTTTACTTCTTTAGAAAATTTTTTGATGGTGATGAAGAGTTGTGTAGTTGTTTACCGATTGAAGTTATTCCGGGCTCAGGTAATCATCCTAGTTCCTTGACGTTACCACTAGGAAGAAGCAGCAGTCCAACTTCACCGTGTAATACATTAGATAATTTTAAAACTCATTGTTTACCAATCTATTCACAGTCTGCAGACCGTTCATCAAAGCATTTGTGTTCACCGCAATCACGTGATCATGAGGCTCCATTTTCATCCTCATCAAGAGTAGGGGATGGATCTAATATCTTCAATATTGATAATATGTCACCATCGTCATCGATTTATCATACCGAAGAAGAAATACCACATGCTGTCAATCCAGTTCATCATTCTCCATTGCCAACACTTGCAAATCATTCACTAATCTCCGGTACTGTTACTGATATATACCATAGTGGTCATGTGTTACAAGCAACTGTTGAACACCCTGAAAGTTTCAAATCACGCTTAGAAGAAAATTTACTTCAGTGGATTACTTATGGCCCAGTTATTATTAACGATTTAAATGACTTGTCAGTTTATAGTAATAACTCCAATAATAATACTAGACCAGAGGAATCATTATTATCGTCCACCCAATTGAATCCATCAATTAAATCTAGTCTTATATATCCGAAATCAAGAGATTGTCAATTGAAACCACCTAAATGGTCTGCTACAAGTTTATTGATTAATTGCGATGCTAAGAGTGTCGAGGTAAGATTACGAGGGATTTTTTGTAGTTTTAATCTTCTTTTCAAAATTTTTTTTAGTTCTGAGATTTGGTTCAGTATTTCTTGATAATAGACGATCAGGAGATTCTTCTAATGCGGAGCGCGATCTATGCGAACTAAACAGACCAGACAACTACAATAAATAACTACGTACTTAGACCTGTTACCCTTCTTGGAGCATAGGCCACCGACTATAGATCTCCAATGAACTGTCCTGTGCTCTTCTTTCCAGTTGTTGCCTAATGGTATTCATGATCTTGATGTCTATCTTTAGTTTCCGGGGCTGTTTTATTTAGTCTATCTCCATGTTATGGTTTGCCTTGTGATGCAGTTTGATGATTTTCGTCAAGTTTGTTTTATCCGCTTCCAGCGTCTTTTTATAGTTTCTTCTTCAGCTGGTATCTGGTTTGTTCTCTAACACAGTAGGTTGTTGCTGATGGTATCTGACCAACAGATATGGAGTATCTTGCGTAGACAGCTACTTATAAATATCTGTACCTCTTAGATGAGAATTGTAACAATTCTCCACGTTTCAGCTCCGTACAGTTGCACTCTCTTGACGTTGGTATTGAAGATTGTGGCTTTGATATTGATTGACAGTTGTTTTGAGTTCCGTATCTTCAGTTGTAGAAATCCTGCCCTTGCTTCACCAGTCCATGTTTTTACAACTGCATCCGATAATCCTTGTTTACCAATGATACTTCCCGGGTAGATAAAGGATTTCACTTCTTCTAGGGCTTCTCCGTCAAGAGGAATTTGTTTGTGCTCTTTGTGTTGTATTTCTAGATATTTCTTTTTTCCTCGTGAATTTCGAAATCTACTGCTACAGAAGTTGCTGCTATATTAGTTGTCTTGGCGTGTATTTACTATGGTGCATGAGATAGAAAGGATAATACATCCAAATCGTCTAGGTGAATCCGAGCCGTTCACCGTATTTCATGCCTCCTCTGAAATGTGGAGGTCGTCATAATTCAATCAATCAGCAGAAGAAAAAGAAAAGGCGAGAGTAAGCAGCCTTGTCTGACTTCAGTCTCCACTTGGAATGTATCTGTAAGTTGTCTTCCATGCAAAACTTTACAATTCAGTCCGTCGTAAGAGTTCTGTATGATAGTGGAGATATTCTTGGGCAATCTATATTGTGAAAGAAGATTCCATAGGTTTTCGAATCCGTTACCATAATCAGGGAATTTGATGTATAATTATGAGTACTATTCTGTTGATTGCTATTAATGATTTGCAGTGTCTCGATTTTATTGACACACGATCGATCCTTATGGAAACTAGTTTGTTGATCTTTAAGTTGAGCATGTGCTGAATTTTTCATTCGGTTCAGAAACGTTGTTAAAAAGTTCGCCTGGTACTGAAAGCGTTTTGATCCATTTTTAATTCCTTCTTTTCTTTATATCATGATGAGTTATCCCTTTTTTTCGCTCTGCTTGTACTTGTTATTCCTCCTAAGTTTCCCTGAAGAAAGGATGGAGTATTTTTGCAGTTGCCCGTGTATCAGAATTTAATGGTTCGACCATTATTTTCGTTGGTCCTCCTTTTTTACTGTTCCTGATTTGTTTAATAGCCTTGCTGATTTCTATGGTCGTAGGGTGTCATTTATTGGGGGAAGCCCATGTGTTATATTTAGTGACGCTGGTCTATTCAGGAGTTCTTCAAAATGTTCTACCCACTCTGTTCCACTGCTCTTCGACATCAGTGATTGGTGCTCCTTCTTTGTTTTTTGACTGGTTGCTCTGATCTACTATATTTCTTTGTAAGCGTCCTAGTTGTATCATATAGTTCTTTCATATTTTCCTATCCTGGAGCTTGTCCTACTTTGATTGCCAAGTTTTCCACATATTTCCATTTGTCTGTTATCATGTTCCTTACTCACTTGTTTGCTTCCATACATTCAGACCATAACTTGGCCTTCTCTACCTTCATTCCTTTATTGTTGACTGCTATTTTTCTACCTTTCTGTTCCTCAATCTTACCCAGAGTATCTATAGAGATCAATTATTTATTCTGGTGTTTGTTGTGTCCAGCACATGGGCTGATGAAGTTATTGCTTGGTTAATCATTTTCTAGTTGATCTCCATGGGGGTTTCCTCTTCTTCTAGTAGGTCTTGTGAGACTTGAAACTTGTTGCTGAGAGCCATGTTGAACTAGCCGAAACTGTTAACATCTTGGAGAAAGTCTGTATAAAACGTTTGTCATACTGCTTCGTTTTTAGCTTGACCACCACCAGATAGTTATCTGAAGCTACGCCTCCTTTTTTTGTTCTTACATCTCCCATGTTCCTTCTGATTTTTTTCTACTGATGCGTACGTATTCGACCTGATATTCTTCAATGTCGTTTGCTGAAACCCATGTAGTTCTGTGTGTGTGTTTTCAGGGGGGAAATAGTGCTATTTATAACCATATTGCTTAAAGCACATAGATTTGTTTGTCTCATCATTCTCATTCCTTTCTCCAGGTCCATGTCATTTTTTATGCGTTCACACTCAATATTGTCCATTCTAACCTTGATGTTTAGGTCTCCTATCAGGATGTTAAGATCCTTTCCTAGGCACTTCTCGACCGCAGCCTCTCATAAAACTGATCTTTATCTTCTTCGTTGCTTTTATTGGTGGGTGCGTATTACTATATGACTTTGGTTTTAATTATCTCCTCTGTTTTGAAGGATTTTTCGATGCACTTGGAGTCGTGAATTTTTTATCCTATGAGGGATTTTTGTTCGTCTTTGGACACCAGTGTGGGGGCATTTTCTTCGTGATTAGAATATGATAATAGGTCTTCCGAAGTTAGTCTGTTTTGTCCAGATTGTGGGTTTCACCCATTCCCAGCATTTCTAGATTGTAACTTCTCATTTCTGGCACACAAACTTATACAAGGTTATTAAGTTGCATTTAATCATATGTAGACTGTAGATTAATACAGGTCAATTATGTCTCTCCATCCAGTAGAGCATCGTTAATCTGCTCTTTCTTTGAGTACTCTGTGTGTAGTAACTTAAAAAATGCCAATTTATAGCATACACATAATTCAAATTATTCGATTTTTATCTACTGTTGCCTTTTTATTCACAAACATTATAAGCATTGTTAGTTTCAAAATGCCACGTGCTTGATTCCGTTATATCGTATATGAAAATTCCTAAATTGGTCATGAACACCGTTAAAAGTGCTATGAAATTTGAATCGGAAGGTAAAATTTAAGTCAATGATAGTGGAATAAACACTTGTATTCTGCTAGAGTCGTGTTGGATGTTAAAAACCCCCGACAACCCACATAACCGAATATTCCTTCTTACTGTGCTTCAAAAAGAAACATCGTTTGGATAATTGGTATAACTAATTAGAATAGAAAGCTTTAAAGACATGAGTTATAGGTTTATTGAATAAGACTAGAGATTCCATCGTTTAATTGAGAATTTCAACCGATGTTAAATTGTTTTGGGTACAATATAAAGCCTAATGTTTCAGTTATTTTCCAACTAGTCCTCTACAAAATTGTAATGAAGTGCTCAGTTTATTGTACGCAATATTTTTTATTGCCCTTTACAATGTATATAGCTCAAAGCTTAGCGTTAGTTTACTGGACTTTAATTTGTTTCAAAAGTATTAATGATAAATCTAGTACGTAAAAGATACAACAAATCTACTTTACAAAATGATTTACATTCACCTAAATATTTCTTACAGATATAAATAAATAATATATTTGTAATATCTCAATAAGTAGAAAATTAGATTTTCTGGCGTTTCGTGACTTAGTGTGAGTCACTTCTTCAGAGAATAAATAACCAAATTAAAACTAATCCAGGTTTAAATAGTACAACGGAACAATAAGAATAATATTTGATCGATCAAAAACAGGTCTGAACAAGTTAATGATTTCTTACAGATGTTCAAATATTTTGTATACTACAGAGTAAATTCGGTAATGAAGCCGTAAAATTTCACCAAACAGAATAGTTGGGTGTTGTGCTTTGCTAACTAAAACAGAATGGTTTGGAATAAGACTAAGACAGTTGATAAACTCATCAATCGTTGTTCTAAGTCATGTTCGAAGTTGCAGACGTCCTAGTCCATATGTACACCATAATCATAATAATAGAGAACCTTAAATGGCATGGCTCAAATTCATTTTTGTAGCACGACTATCCTCATCATCACATTTTTCCTAATTATTGAGTTTTAGCAGTCATTTTTTGCACATTCCATTCTCATTTCAATGATATCATTTTATGCTATTGGTTCCCTTTATGAATTTAAATAGAGCAAGAATCTTCTGATTCCCCCTTGTCTCTTTTTTTTCTCTTCCCAAGTTTATTTCACTGTATTATAATCTTTAAGTAACATCTACAAACACTAATCTTTCCGATTACTGCTTATACTCTTATACCTCTACCACTACGGGATTTGAATCGACCACTGCATCTCTGTGCTAATGTGGTGTGGCAACTCGAACTGATGTACGTACGTACGAAGTTCTACGTTGTTACTGACTGACTGACTGATATCATTTTACTTGTACATAATTCTCAATCATTTTTGTTTTCATTATTTCAGCTTATTTATTGTATATTTTGTTAATTTCTCACTATGCTGATGTGATGTATGGCAAATTGTTGTAATACATATGTTTAAAACTGACTATATAGAAGACAGTGATCACTTCTCTCTACATTATTAACAATATGCGACACGTATCAGCTTTGATCTTCTATTTATTATTAGAATCACCCACTTTTAATTTTTAAAAAAATAAATAAAGCATAAACCTTATAAATAACTGTACGTAATGGGTTGAAATGATTGGCAATAGTCTTTTAAACTGGCTGATATTATTACTATTGTTTTAGTTCATTTTAAATGTTATATTGTCACGGTGATTTAATATGAATTATTAAACGAATACATTTTATTTGTTATCAGGTCAAATTGGGTTAATGTTATGTAAGCTGTTAGACCCTCTATATGTGGTCTATCT